ATACAGGTACTCCAATATGAAATTATTTTTTATTTTTATTTTTTATTATTATTTTTTAATATCTAGGATACATGAATACTTGTTATAAAATTCAATATAATTTTATTAATATAAAAAAAATTTAAACATCGAAGCATAATAATAAAAATAAAATACTAAAGTTTTTTAGTTTTTTATTTTTTTAATCTTAATCCTTAATTGTCCGAATGTCATTTTCTTCAACATTATCAACATTAGCTTCTTCATTATCAAAAAAAATAGCACTTTCTAATTCTAATTCATCTAATGATAAATTAGCAACTTCAAGCAATCCAACACCTTCAAGAATATCAAATGAGTGTTCGACATTGTCTAACATTTTTTGATTTTCCTTTTGAAAAAAAAAAAATCTAATTTTCTTGATAAAAAATACAAATTGCTATGAATGAAAATTAATTCTTCAGCTCGATGTGGAGTTATTTTATACCTTCTCGTAGTGCAAAAAAAAGTATGTACTCCAATTCATCTTAAGATGAAGAGGAAGGCAGCACAAGAAGTTTCAAAGCAATGCTTTAAAGAAAATATGTATGTAAACCATGAAGTAGCCACCCGATCTTCGAATCCATATCATACCAATTAGTGATAGAATTAAACTCACCAATAACACTTTTTTTCATGTATCCTAATGTATCGAATGCATATCGAAAATTGTTAAAAAATACGCATCCGATACATATCGAAAAATTATAAAAATATATAAAATAAATAAAAGACATGTATCCAGTATGTGTCAGAGAGTATTGAAGAGTATCCAAGTTTGGATGTGTATCGAATACGAGTACGTAATGAGTTTACAAGTATCCGTACTTAGATTTTGGGAGTGTAGTTCAATCAAAAGTTGTTGAATTATTTTATTTGGATGTGAGGAGAATGTTGGTTGAAGTACTAGTTCACACTAATGCTTAAAAAGAGGCGGACAAATTTAGCTTTGTTATAAAGGAGAAAACGAAGAGGATGCAATACATAAAACAAGAGTAGGTTAGAGAAAATGGATATTTTGTATGGGTCAACAAACACAAATTGTTGATAAATTTATCGTAGTAGAAGTGAAGATTTTAGGACGGGCTTGTGGTTTTGTTGTAATGAATAAATTTTTTAATATGGATATACTCCAACACCATGTAAGCTATGCATAACTTAGGGGATCGAGGCATGCCTTGTGTAGACTCAAAAGCTATCTTAGTTCACATGAACGATGTGATCACTGTTGAGCATGTTAGGGGAGGTAGGTATGCAAAAGTTTCATTGGATTGCAGTTATATGTGGACAAAAAATTATTTTTGTAGCTTAGCCCCTATTTGACAACCATTAAAATAAATTTCTTTTTTTATTTTTTATCAGACTCATTTCCAATCACATATTCTCACAATAAAATATTTTGTTTGAAACACAAATTTTTTTCTACTGCTTAACCACACATTTTCCAAAAAATAATTATTCAAAAACTCATTTTCGCAAAAAATATCTTTTAAATGGTTCTCAAACAAAGGCTTAGTTTGTTGTGGGGTCATGGTCACGTAAAAAAAATGACGTCTTTAGATGTTTGGTGTTGCAACGAAAAGCGTTTTATCTTCCCTAAGTTTTACACTGGGTGCCAGTCCTCCTTTTATAAATATATAAACTTCTCGAGTTCTTGTGATTCTTTTCCTGCAAATTGCCTCAAAAATACTGTTTTAACAGTGCTATTAAATTCTGAGTAGCATAAACACTCAAACTTGTTTGCATTTCGTGACATTAATTTCATAATCTGTCTGTTAAACATGGTTATTTACTGGATGGTATATGTGTTAGACATGTCATGATCAATAATTTCATACTGCACATCTTGAAGGATATACTTCACTTGGAATTTTGCATAACTTGTTGCATGTCATTTTGCCAGATCTTCATGCATTCTTAATCTTAAGTAATTTTACTCCATGAGTATGTGACTTAGCTTTTGTATTTATAAGCAAATGTATATAATTGTTCTCAGGTTTCTAATATTAGAGTCCTTGACCTTGTATTAAATTTGTGCTTGTGTTCCTGATAGAATATTGGTGGTGCTATATTTTGAAGTCACATTGACAACTTGGTCATTCAGATGATTCAAGCAATGAAATTCCCGTAGCTTAAGGTGTAAATTACTTGTTTGACAGGACTCGGTTCCAAAAAGAGTTTAACAGGGACATCGCTGGGGGCTCCCGAGCCAGCAATAGAGACAGAAAGCTTGATTTCTGTTGAGTTCTACAAGTGCGTCTGTCTTTCACTCTTCTTAGAACATTTTATTCGTTTTTTTGCTTTTCTAAATAATCTGGATTCATGGATGCAGATCTAGAGAACAGGTTCCTCTCCAGGATGATAGGATAACATATCCTGAACGTCGCTGACAATCAGAAACTATTTTGTTGCGGATAAATATGTAGAAATTGAAACACTTGGATTCCTTTGTACGGTGATTTGCTAATAGGAGCACTTCATTTTACTTAATTTTGGACCATATGATGGTGGATTTGGTAGCTGTAAATACAAATTATGGATTTTCATTATGTAAAGGTACAATGAATGTAATCCATGTTTATGTCGCCGTTATTAGCCGAATCTGAATGGCTTTCACTTGTTATACCGTGAGTTATAATAATGTGACAAATAAAATCAAAAGCAAGAATGAACACCTTAGATTTCACCAAACAGTAGAGATGATTACATTTTATTTTTGGGTAATAGGTATAAAACGTTCCTATCGATTGTTCAATCATTCCTATCATTAAGCTTTGGACATTTGAATTCTCAGGTCGATCATTTTTTGTGCAAATCACCCATATTGTCTCCTTCCATCAATTTGCTAGAGCAAATGATTGCATATAGATTGCTAGTGTAATTTGCCCAAGGTAATTTTGTCAAGACACTAATTGATCATCATTTCCAGAAAATTCGTGGTTTGACATCATACAATAAAATTTACGATTCACATCTCATATAAATCTTGTGTTTTTGGTGACATAATAAATTTGTATTAGCGAATTAACACGTCATATCTTGAATTTGCTTTTATAATCTCCATTTTTTTCATTTCACTCTAAATTTTTGACCTATAAATAAAAAAAGAAAAAAAGAAAAAAAGAAAAAAGTGCAATTAGAAGTTGTAGAAAAAATTTATTCACGTTTGAAATTAGACAATCGAACAAACTTAAGATTTACATACAAACTCAGTATTTGCCCAACATACTCAACTTTTGCATCTCAAACTCGAGATTCGTCCAACAAATTCGAGATTTTCATAACAAACTCGTCAAAACAAATGCGAGACATCTTCAAAACTCGAGATTAGTGTTGAACCGCAAATCTTGAATTTTGCTTCTGCATATCAAACCTCAATTTTGAATGCAAAGTTCGTACACTAGTCTTTTGACTAAATTGCCGTTGGACAAATCACAGAAGTGAATTGCAAACGGCCATCTGACAAAGAAAAGGGAGGGAATGAGATGACATGGATGAATTTTATAAATAATAGTCAATCTAAAGGTCTCAATGTAAAGAGTGAAACAATATGAACGACTTGCACAGTGAAGACAAACGATAGAGACATTTTATGTCAATTACGTATATTTTTGAACTACTTGTTTTAATATCCTTTATATGTATGAAGAAATATTAGGGTTGGGGTGACAAAGGGCTGAGTTGGCTAGCCAACCAAAGTCGATTCGACATGCTCAATGAGTTGGGCTCTATCCATCGGTCAATGAACTGAGCCTGGGCCAACTTTTTGACCAAGAGATCAAGCCGTACTCGATCCATGGGCCCTATTAGTGTAGGACCGAGCTAAGGTGGCAAAAGAACCCTAATATTTATTTATTTATTTTGAGAAAATCAAATTTATAAATAATAATTAAGGAAGAATTTTATGCATGAAATAGAGTTTATATAAATTAGATGCAAAAAATTAAATACGAAACAAGCTTGGCCCGACCTATGCTCGTTTAAATATGAGCCTAAGATGCGAATAGGTCGAGCTCTCATGAGTGTCAAGCTGATAAGCAGCCTGAGTCCAATGGTACCACTATATCAGAACTACCTAAAACAATTATAACACTTCCAAAGTACCCCTATATCATTTAAAAGATTTCGGTTGAAGATAAAAGTGTATTGCTGCTACTGCATAAATAAATTCCACACACTCAAGCAACAAATATACAGTAGGCCTTTAAACCGAATAATTCTTCCACTTAAATGCTTTAATGCTACATTACCAGAGACTATCTGACCGATCTTGCTGGTGAACCTACCATTTGATAAATAGGGAACATTTAGTGCGTGTTTTATTCTCTTCTTTAATAGTTTTAGTGCTTTTAATACTCCCGTGTCAAACATGCCACTTAAGTATTAGTTAAAAGGCGAGCAATTTGATCTTGTGTTGACTTCAAAAAACTTCAGTTCCTCAACAATCTGATCAACTCTTTCCTATGAAAATATATCGATACATAATGTTGATTTGTGTCTCAATCATTAAGCCCCTGTTTGGTGGCCTTTATTTCAAAAATACCTATGTTTTGCATAATATTTTTTGGAGAATGTGCGAATAAAAGGTAAGGAAAAATTTCGGACTTACATGTAGAATATTTTATTTTGTGAACGTGATTGAAAATAAATATGACATATAAGATAAAGTAAAGAAAATTAAATTAAAGGGAGTCAAACAAGGGTTTAATATGAGATCTTAGCCAATGAAAAGCCAGAAACTGCAAAATGCAAAATTTATGTTGATTTTAAAGTTGTAGGACAGGCAATCGGCTGGTGGGTTTGGATCTGGATGGTCTGTCAATGGTTCAAATAAATGATGATTTGATAGAAGTATTTAATATACTGTCAAAATTGGGTTGTGCCAAACCATCCAACCCATTGGCCACTGGGATCGACTGACCGATTACGTCCTTAATTGCCAGATCTTTCGATGAAGCTAACAACAGCATAGTCTTGTCGGATAATATATAAACACGGTAGAGAATGGGAGAGTGCATAATATCATATGACGACGTAACTGGTTTCATCAGAATTCAGGATTACAAACATTCTTGATCACGAGTTGTCCAGTAATAATCACATTGATCTATCGCATAAAAGATGAAAATTCTTAGCAGGAACCTAAAAAACTCGTAAAATAAAGCATAAAAATCTATGTTAATTCTTTGCATTGCTTATGAAGTGACGGGCATTCAACAACATATCAATACCTCACCGAGAAACTAGTCCTCACAGAATCAAGATGAATCCCAAAGCCAAGCTGGATGGAGCGAACAACAGAAAGACTCGTGTATCCCTGGTGCTTTATGTAAGAAGAATACCTGAAAAAGCATAAACCATTAGAGGAGGGAATTTGTATGAACTACTAAAATGAGCAAATCAGTTTATGCAAACTCAAAGAGGTTTCTCCACCCATGAGAAGAATCTTCAGTGGGGCCCAATGCCGAGCACCACCTTGGTGATGGCCCACACACCTCGGTTGTGTGGTGGGCCACCCACTGAGGTGGCACACCCCGATAGGGAAGTGCAACCGCCCATGGTGTATTCCCTTTATGTCAGGAACTACGATCACTTTCAGATTATTGAGACACATATATTCAACAACAACATTAGTGTACGTGTTAAATGATGCTAATATGTCCATTTCTGTGTCCCTACTTTGAATTTCCATCCACAATAAAACTCCGTTTCTCGAGTCCCAAGTTAGGACCCAATAGCATTACTAGGATTTCTTATTTATAGCCCCTCAGCACATTTTGCAAGATGTTTGTCCAACCAAAGGGAGATAATAGGATCAAGTTTAAGACGTCAAACTTTTAACTCCTTGTGCAATTCGTCGAACTAACAAGTCTATAAGCTTAAAGCTTTATGGATTGAGTTTTCCTAAAACAAATTTGGCAATGGTACCTGAGGCTATATTTCACTTCTTGTGTTCTTCTTGTTGTGAATCGTCAATTACATCTTCCAACGGCGGAACCCACTTGCCATAGACCCATTCACGATGAAGGCGGAGTTGGGACTCGTCGAACTCAATCTGCTCGCGGGAACTTCGGAAGAAGACAGAATAGCGGCCACCGTCAAGAACAGCAATGACAATGCCCTCCCACCAGCCGTCATTGTGGAAGGCGTCAACATCCTCGCTGACATCAAACCGCCGCCGAGCCTCGCGTGGCGGGATCGGACGGACCAGAATGGGGTCCACCGCCTCCCTTAGCGGCTTGGTGGAGTTATCGCCGGAGGTGAGAGTATGGAACTCGAGGTAAATTTTTTGGGTCTTCTTGGAAATGGAGCGGATGATGTTCGCTGTATACCAGGAGCCCCGGAAACCGTCGTCCTCCAAGCTCACTTCCACTTGCGCTCCCTTCTTGAACGGATCTTCTTCACCATTGCCAGCCATTTTCAATAATATAGAGGGAAAATGTAGGAAGTAGAAGTTGATGTGGATTTTGTTTGATTTTGGATTTGAGTTTTGGTGACTGTTTTCGACAGACGCCGGAGGCGTAGACCCGCGTTTGGGGATTCAGGTGGCCTCCTATTTATTTATTTATTTATTTATTTATTATTATTTGTAGTTTCCAGATTAATCTAGGCATGTTACGATATCTTCAGCTACACCAAGATTTGAGCTATTTTATGCCAAATTAAAATTCTACTCCAACCATTATATCAAAACTTGCATCAAATAAATAGTGCTTTATTATTTTATTTATTCTTTTGATTTTTCTCAATGTATTTATTTAAAAAAATTATTTTTTTACTTTATAACTATATAAATTATTAAATGATAATTTCGTTAAATTAACAAATATATTGATTACTAAATTATTCACGTGTTTTATATATTATGTTAAATTGATAAAAATAATTGATTATATTATTAATTTATGATAAACAATTACATTAAATTTACAAAAATAATAAACTTTACTTTAAATTAAACTTTAGACGTAAACTTTACAAATTAAATTTTACGTTAAATTAACAATTATATTAATTATTATTAATTATATTATTAAAAATAATAAATTTTAATAATATAATTAATAGTGTAATTTATTAGTATTATTAGTATCATCATCAACATAGAATGAAAATGACATAAATACCCTTAACCATTATTTTTGAAAAAAAAAATAAGGGCAAAATGTATATTACACCATTTGATGAAAAAAATGGTGTAATGAATAGTGTTGCACCAAATATAGTGCAACACTATTCACTTTGAACCATTTTGCACCAAAGTAGTGCAAATTTTGGTGTTACATTGGAGCAACTTTGCACCAAAAAATAGTGCAACCATTGGAGATGCCCTTACATATACAGTTCATTTTACACTCTTATCATATCATGTCACATAATTTACGCAATTGATTTTGAAGACACATATAGCATCATGGTACATATTCCCTCGACATGGGGGAAATGTCATTGAAGATGTACACCAAAGTATACATCTAGCATAATTCTAATCAATCACAATAAAATAGTTAAGGAATTTTTTTGGGGGACATTTTAAAATGGGTAGTTATATTTACAGTACACATTTTTATAAACACGCCTCATTTTAATTGCATTAAAGATCATTGACCTTTATTCATTAGAGCACTTGTATGCTTAACCTTTTTCGTCATCACACTTTTAATTTAAACGTTAACAAAAATTATTGTCATTTGGTTTTCATTCAAAAATATTTTTCTTTTTACTCACTTTTCGAAGCATTGAAATAGTATCAACCTTCTAGGCAAAAATAAAATTCAATTGTAGAGTGAGACTTTGAACAACACAAACAGAATCACATTCAGTAATGATTGCTAAAATCTCTCAAGTGCAAGATATCGTATCCAAGTAATAGAATGCTAGTAATGTATTGTTCTTACAATGACTAAATACTTTATACAGTTTCAATTATCACTAACTCTAATCAAATAACACTGTGAACGATTTTGTTTTGATTCTAACTAATCAATGTATAACTATCTAAATACTAAGCTAATGAATTACAAAGAAGCTTTTATGAAGTTGATTAATGGCAAGCACTTGGAAATTGAATCCTCCTATACTATCTCGTTTTAACAACAATCCAAGGCAATATCTACACTTATTTAAACTTGAAGATCAATATACCTATTTAATTTCGTAATATCTCTTGAGCAATACTAAACCTATCCTCACATGTGAATTTACAATGTTTCTACGAAGATTGCAAACATGTAATGATGCATTTAAAGACTAGACGTCTACTTAAGTCATTCAAGGCAAACAAATATTTCTCTATCCCCCTATCAAATCTAAATTATCTTTATCATGTGCAATAATTCTTATGCTTTCTCTTGAATTAAAAATCACTAGTCAATTCAATTAAGGATCAATCAATTGAAAACATTAAAATCATAACAATCGTTTAAGATAAACAAGAATTAACTTCAAAGTCTTAAAATTGAAATTAAAAAGTCTAGTATTGAGTTCATTGTCATCCCAATGACTAGAAATATAATCGAGCATCATAAAGTTACAATATACATAATTTAATTTTGAGACATCACTCCAATTTTAATTATAGAAAAAAAGAGAAAAGTCTTGAATTCTTAAATTTCTTCAAATTTTCTTGATCAATTTCCTAAAATCCAAGCAATAATCATCAATTTGTGCATATGAATGTGTATTCTTGTACCTTGACTCTTTTCTCTCTCCAACGGTTCATAACTCAATTTCCAGCCCCCAAAGTACGTTAAAAAAAGAGTTTGAATTATATTCTATGTAAAGCTTGAGTCGAAAAAGGAAACAAAATTTTTCCTATTGGGATGCACCATGCGATCGCATGGTTATGTGTTTGGAGCTGCAAGATTTCACTTCGACCTCCTTTGGATCGCATGGAATGATCTTTGAGATTGCAAGACCTTCCTTCTTTTACTTTGCCACTTTGGTCCTTGAATTCCTTCTTCAGTTCATCTCAAGTCCCCCTTTTGTATTTTCCATGAGTCCCTCAACTTCCAATTGTATCCAATTTGATCCATGTCATCCACAATTGTCCACCTTGGTCCAAACAAATTTTAGAGATTAGCAATTAAGTCTTAGAATTTACACAATTATTTTTCTTTAGTCCTCTTTTGCCGATTTTTGTTTATTTTCATCATCTACCATCCAATATCAATTTTATTTCACAATAATCAATTTTTAAACAAAATTAAGTAGTAATTCAACTAAAGCAACTTCCTAAACATCCACTTTTGAAACCCTGAATTAGTGTAAAATCGTACTTGTTAAAGAACTCCCCAACTTGAATATTTATTTGTCTCAAACAAAATTAGTTACTTAACACATACATACAAAACAAAACAAATTTAACTTAGTTAGAGAGCTTGTCGTATTGCCTCACATTTTGAAATTACTCGAGCAATTCATAAAAAGGCTTCTAAGACATGCTATTAAAATCAATTTTCACTTATCAAATGCTAGATCGATATGGTGTGCATAGTTAATTCAATTCCATAAAATTTAGAGCTAGTTATTTTTTGATTATCAATGGTCAAATATTTCATCTCTCTCAATAGATAAACACCCCAAACTTGTTCTTTATTCTCACACCTGGGGTTCAAATTGTAGAATTTACAACACTTATTCCTTTCCCTCTCAAGTTTGATGGCACAACCAATGGAAGTTACTACTCAATTTGTGATAACTCCCTATATTTGAATATCTCAAACCTCCAAGTTTCAACTAGGCTCATAGCTCTCATTAAAAGTCCAACTTCTAGGTTAAGTGTCTTCTATTTCCAGCACTCACTTTGTCGTATTTACTGTATATATTTTATTTCATGCACTAGCTTTTATCTCTTTCAATTTTGCATTTTTGGTTCATTCCGTGTCCTCATTGAGATCTTTCATAGAGTAGTTTTCGCTCCTAAAGTCATGACATTTTTTCAATTTCTACCATGATTAGTGTAATGCCCTTTGATGGGGGACATGATTGAAATTAGACTTCTAATGTATGATTCCTTACTAGATTTTACCTATTAGTAAAAAACACTCTGCACAAATGTTTGACATGTAAAAAATCAATCTACATAATGGCTTATGAAAAATACAACAATTATTATATATGCACTAAAATCTGTCATCAAAATTTCTTTAAATCAAGGAATAAAACATCGACTAAATGGACCATCACTCACAATATGAGGACACAAGGAATTATTCATTGATGCTGGCACTGGAACTTGAAAACACATAATTGACCAAATGACCGAAGATGTATGCAAACTAAACAAATAGTTAGTGATATTATAAAGACAGAGAAATTTTATCCTTTGTAAATCATATATCAATTATTTACCAACAAATCACAAAACACGATTTTAGATTGTTGGGAAAAAAATGAGTGATTTGTTTGTAGATTTTTTTCAATTAAAATAATAAAATAACAAATACAATTCAACAATAATATAACATAAGAAGAGAAGAGCTAAAATGCAAGACTTGAAAGTCACGTTGAAAACGCTATCTTAAAGTCGTGCGGGTACTTTCAGCACTACACCATTTCAAGATAAAACCCATGTCGCTCACAACCAGTTCTTTTTTTTACGGACATGATCTTTCGGAGATAAGTGAACAAACCTTTATCAAATTGTCAAAACTATATAAAATAATATATAAGTGTAGAGAGTATTGTATTAAGTTATCTTTTTCATGTCATGCTTAACCTCATGAAAATTACTCCCATTTCATAGGAAAAATCACTAAAATACAAGTTACAATATGTATTATGATATTTTAATTTTATGTCAGAATTAAAAAAAATTTAATTTGAAAGGTTAAAGCAAGTTACAAAGAGGTTGTCTATTACACCTTTCACAAATGGATGATGTGCTAAAAGACCTCTAAATTTTTCCTTGTTATGTAAGCATTTTTGGAATGATATGACATATTTTTTTGGTGCAATCAGCCTAACTCGTGTATTGTCATTAGCAGAGTAGCCCGTTAAAGCCATTTTCTGAAGCCCTACCTCGTTTGAACGCGTCAATGATCTATTTCAACGACAATAGATGCGTGTTTTTGCTGTAACACAAACGAAGTAGTTCTTGGTTCTATCTTTCCCTATTAAAAATGTCTCAACAATTGATCATTTTCAAGAGGCTAGGCGTATGGAAAATTTTGTTCAGATACAGCAGATCACGTGCTCGACTTGGAAACTGTAAAAGATGAAGGAACAGAAAGTGAGAACCTTGAAAGAATCGCTGCTTTTGGTATGAGCGGTATAGGAAGTATTTTATTTAAAAAGGTAAAATCATCGGCTTTAATTGACAGTCCAATATGTTTTTAACTAGTAGTTTGTTGATTTTTGAGTGGTTTTATCTCAAAATTACATATGCCTACTCCAGATTCCTGTACATATAAATGTGTCAAGATTTGGGAATGGTATAATATGGGATTATTAGAATCTTATCTGATATAGTTTAAGTAAAAATACTGTAAAAGTCTTAGGTATAAGAACTCGGATTGCTTATAGAATCCAAAATTTTCCAAAGTTTGAGTCTATATTACGATGA